TAATTGAGAAGTAAACAGGACTGCAGCCTGTTATCGTTCTTGATCTTGCTCTTTGTAAATTAAAAAAATGGTCTTATCTATGATTATGCACACTATATAATAGAAGAAAGGGATTCATCGATATTTTTGTACAAGTCGACAGTCACATTTTCAAAGCAATCCTCTGCTACAAATGCTACCAATTTATGAATATATTCTACCAAATTTTCAAGCAAAATGAAGACTACAATGATATGACTTCTTTCTTGACTTAGTGTCCATATGTGTATGAAAGGATGATAATTACTTTAGCTGCATTATCTGGATGTTGCACAATGTAATTCAAGAATCAACTTAAAAATCGTATTTACGAAAAGTTTTATGTTGGTTGTTCTGTACATTAATGAATTGTTATCGCCCTCAAAAGTTTATTTTAATGCATGCCATGATAAAACATTATCATAGATGGAAGATTTTCGAGCAGACAAGGACAATTTTTTGGGAATTTTCCAAACTACATTTTTATTTTTTCAATTACCTCCATTCTCGATTTAATCGTTGTTTATTCCGCTGGCTTATCTGTTGAATTCGTTTGTGAATAGGTTTTCGAGATTAACAGTAAATCATATATATGGGTTGTGTCCACCATATTTCGTTTAATGTAATGAAGGGCTGGTAGATGATTTTTCCCATAACGATATGAGTAGAGCTGATGTTTTCCATTGAATTTCACATAGCCTTCTATTCCCAAAAGGTGTTCTGATCCAGGGTTGACTACAGTTTTGATCTAGCTTAGGTCTTATCAATACTCCAAGAGGGAGTCGAACCATATCAATGCAGCAGGTTAGCTCGACACGTTAACAGTTATGCTACATTGCCATAAGCGCCCTTGGGTCACAGGACAGATGTGAATTTCAAGAAATGTCGCATTTTCCACATCACACTCTGCGTTGGGATTGTCGATGAAACAAACTTATATTTGCTATAGCAATCGACGACATTACTGTTTCACTCACTTTTAACGAAACAGGTGAACCCAACTTATATTTATGATTTACTGGTGATATCAAAAACCATTTCGTAAATTCATAGGTTTTTAAGATTACCAGTAACTAATATATGTAAGTTGGGTTTACCCCATTTCGTTTAAGGTGATTAAAACAGTAATGTCTTCGATTGCTATAGCAAATATAAATTTGCTTCATCGACAATACCAACACAGAATGTGATATGGAAAATGTATGGCATTCCTTAGAATTCACACCTGCACCGTCACCCAAGGGTACTGGTGGTAATGTAGCGTAACGTGTCGAATTTACATACTGCACTCTCATGGTACGTCTCCCGCTTGGGGTGTTGATATGCCCTATGT